TTGAAACTTGCACATTATCAGACTAAAATTGAAAGGGCTAAAAAACTGTGTACTCAAAAAAATTTTAACACTTCCGAGAAAAAAGTTTGAAACTTAGGTGAAAATTTGTTGCAAAAATTGGTTGGGCTATAAAACTGTGTATTCAGAAAAATTCCAACACTTCTGAGAAAAAAGTGTGAAATTTAGGTGAAAATTTGTTGCACTTTTTTGAAGTTTTCTACAAATTGTTAAACTTGTTTTTATATGGGGTTTGTTAGAGAAAGAACTGTAATTTAATTGAAAATTCTCAAAAATAAATAAATGAACATAAGTTGCACACAATATCACTTTGAAATGGCGTGCTATAGATTTGACCGATACTGTACATAGGCGGTTGGCTCCAAAGTAATTGCTAATGCGGACGATGTTGTATTCGTTATACAAGGTAAGTTCCTCGATTTATCTAATTGAAACCTATCTCAATTCACTACTTAAATGGTAAAAACACGTGGTTTATGGATAAACATTGTTAAGAGTGAGTTAGCTAGTAAAAAAGTCACAGTATGCAAAAGTATTTTTTGACAGCAAGCTGCGCTGATATGACAACAAAGCAGAACATATTAAAAACCGCAAAGCCAAAAGCTTTTCACTTGAAAAAAGTAATATGTATATCAAGAGGATTCGCTCAGCGAACAGTACCCCCGATTATATACGACAACCGTCCGACCAATTATATTATATCGACAGTTGAGTGGCAGATCGACCTCTCTCAGCAGCCGGTTCGAAAACGCCCTATCACAGCAAATTTTCAAGGTCATCCTATTTCAGAACTTGGTTGAAGAATGCGCAATCTCAGAATTTTATTGAAGACCGCTCTATTCTGCATTTCTCGTAATTTGATTGAATGCCCTTTCTCAATGTAAATTCAATAGATCGGCAGTTCAGGTAGGGCGTTTTTATATTATTTGTTGAGATAGGGTGTTCTTCAACCAAATTCTGAGATAGGGCATTTTTCAGTCAAATTCTGACGCTCTTGAGCCCTTTTCTAAGGTAGGGAGTTCTTCGACCCATTATAACGGCTAAAAATTATCGAAAAATAAATATCTACATACATTCTTCCTTGATCTTGACTCTATTAACAAGTGGCAACCCTATAAAAAATATTTTAAAAATCTCTACGAAAGATATATAAATTGGTGTTAAATTTCCAAACGGGTGACAAATCTCATCAAAAATATTTTCAAAAATAAAGTTTTGTGTAACTCCCTAATTTCTTATTTAAATCGATATTGAATACCTTCATGGAATACTTTGTTTAACTTACTAGATAACTTTTGAAAACGGCGGCAACACTTTTAAAAAAATTTAAGGTATGATAATTCAGGTTATAACTCAAACGTGTGCATGCGAACTTTCCCGTTTATAATATTAACTAATAGTAGTAATTTATTTTATTTTATACTAGCGAATACCCGGCGTGCTACACTGCTCCTTAAAAGTACTTTTGTGTTGTTACTCCCTTCCAAAACGTATGGCCCCATTCATAAAAAATAAAAAATAAATATTTTCGAAGGTACTGGGAATGTAAGTAAAGTAAAGACTTTGTCGTGGGAATTTAATTGATTTATTTTTTATTTTATTTCTTCATAGGTGAATTAATTCAATATCTACCTTTTCTTATCAATTAAGCCGAATTAAATCTTTCAAATAGGTGTCAGCCCGCTTCAAACATACTTTCAACAGTAAACTTTCTAAAAAGTCTTTGGTTAAATACCCGTATTGTAATATTTAATTTATTTTATCAATTTAACTGAATAAATTTTTTCAAACATGTGGCAACCGTCCTCAAAAATATTTTCGACAGTAAAATTTCCCAAATTTCTTTAGTCACCCATAAATTAAAATTTTTTAAACAGGTTGCAAACTTCCATAAAAATATTTTCGGCTGCAAGCCTTCTTACACGTTTTTCTTTTGACAGCCACATTGCAATATTTACTTTATCTTATTAATTTACTTAAACTGCAATTTTCCGACAGCTGGCAACTCTATACATTTTTGTTGTTCTTTCTATGTTTTAAGTTATACCTCTAGCAATACATTAGTGATAACTGCATTCAATTCCTTGAATTAGTTTTCGAGTGACGAGCGTACAAACATACAGACAGACAACAATTCTAAAAATTATTGATTTGGCTTCTGTTGCTCTTATAAAGACCCCAAAATGCATTTTTTTTTTATATCTGCCTGTTACAATTTCATTATATGTATTCTGATCATAAAGTAATTGGCCGTAATATATTCAAACAGAAAATAAATCATTCCTGAAATGTTTCGTAAATACGTGATTTTAAGCACTAGCTGCGATCTTCAAATAATTAAATGCATGTACATACATGCATATACAATATACTAAAATATTCCGAAAATCCCTATCTCGTACTTACCTCTCTTTTGCATAAACGAAAACAAATCATCCAGAAATTCTTTCCGCTTCGGATCATCGTTGATCTCGTAAAGCTGCAAGACAAAGAAAAACAAAATGAATTTTAAATTAATTGCATTGTTCAACGAGAGATAGAAAAGGCAATAGACAATATTCAACAAAAAACCAAAAAAAAAAAAAACGGAAAAAATAATAAACTGACAAAACCACAAAGATCAGAAAAACGAAAACACACAAAAACAAGCGTTAACAGCATCTTGACCTCAAAGGTCAAAATTAGCACATCAAGAGGGCTAACTACTATTTTAGCGCGCACACCTAACACTCGGCTGCAGTGACAGGCAATGCGACGCTCATTATAGCATCGAAAACACAAGTTTGAAACAGAAAAAAATCAAACAGCAACGCAAGGGTGCCGTCTTACAGCACGGGGGGCATAAATGCTACCCCTATTTGAACTCACTACATTTGTATGTACATATATATTTACATATGTATGTAGCTGCATAGAGCTGAGCAACCGGAATAACAGCATTAACAACAAATTTCCACATTCACGCCTTCTTTGGCGCGCGCTATTGCTTGCGAACAATTCGACAATCTGAAAATCTCACTAACGTATTTTCATTCAACCAAAAATTTTTTTCTTATTTTATTTTGATTTTTTCTTGTTTTGCACGGGTCGCTCACCTCTGTAGGCCACACCTCAGGTGTGTGTTGTTGTCGTTAGCATGTGCTGTAGTTTGAGTGAATTCGGTTAGCAATAAAACGAGTGATCAGTTGTACATACATACATTCAACTAAGTAGCTAACCAATCAGCCAGCAGCTAGCGAAAAAAAAAAAAATATTTATAAAAAACAAAAATTTTTAAAGAACAAATGCTATACAAGTATATATAGATGGCAACACTCAAAGTGCAGTAAGCGGAAAAAGGTTGCATTTAAACCACCTTATGTTTCACACAATCGCCGCAAGGAGGACGTATGAATTGGTTGGTGGTGGTCGTGGTGCGTGCGTGCGTGCGTGCGCTTATCACTCTGAAAACCCTAGCATCCCTTCCACTACGGCGCATAAGATTGAAATTGATTGGGTAGATTTTGTTTTTCCTTTTTGATACGCAAGCGCCCTTGCACCTTTTCATTCAGTCATTCTTCTTTAATTCATTCCTCTTATTTGTGTGTGTGTGTGTGTGTGTGTGTTTTCCATTGTACTTTTTGGGGTTGGAAAGCAAGTCTATTACTCACATACATACATATGTATTTTTATACTCGTAAGTAGGTGCGTCATTGAATGCTAAATATTTTGATACTATTTGAAGTGGAAAGAAGTGCGAACACACAAAAGTCTCTTGATTGCGGCATTTAAGAGGATATCGCAGCCCTTTTTATGCGGTGCTGCATTTCGACTAAGGCGACGAGGGCTACATTGCAACATAATTATAGCTATTTATCCATTTTATCAGAGCGTGTAATCGCTACTGAAACAATAGCATTCAAGTGGCGATAATCTCTTATGATTCTTAGCATTGTTAGATTATTTGAGGTGTTATGAATTATGCGCTTTATTAGAAAAATACATAAGTAAAAATTGGACTTAGGTAATGAAATAAGTTATTAGTAAAAAAGTATTTAAAAGCAGCCTCTCTTAATTTTAACCAAATCGGACTATAAATACGGGATTTCCAAGTATTTCGACCCGCACCAAAATTTTTTGTAGAGGTTTTCCTTTTAATGTAGGTAATATGTATTAAAAATATAAACGAAATCAGGCCAGGGTTAGATGCCGGGTTTTGAAGTATTTGTACGCCCCGCGCCACCTACCGTCAAAATTATTTATGGAGTTATTTCCTTCCATTTAGTTGATATACATTCAATTTATGAACCAAATCGGACTATAAATACGGGTTTTGTAAATATCTCGACTCAGACGCCACCTAGCGGATTAATAAATCTTTCGTATTCCATTGTCATCGGTTTCTGAGCTATATTTGATGTTTGGAAGTCCCTACTCCTCATCGGGAAGTTTGCTAAAAGTTGATTGCAAGATTTGACCCAAACAAACATACTTACATACATATCGATGATCCGCTGAAATAACGGCACAGTTCAAAATTAAAAAAAAACCCCTTTCTACTGTCAAGTGGCTCAAGTCTCTAATAATTTTCTAATCAATGTCCGATCCTTACTACTTACTTTAGTAATCCTCACTACTTATTTTAGAAAAGACTGGACATGGATTACATAAGGATTAGAGATATTAGACATTTAAAAGTAGTAAGTGTTTGGTTCTTTGGTTTTTAAGTTGTGTCGTTATTGCAGAGCACCATCGTTATTTATGTATGTATGTACATATGCACATAGCAAGTTAAACAGAACTTTGTAAAAAATAAGAAAAATATAAACTATCACTAAAATTTCTGTTCGTAATAAATGCAGAAATCTCAACAGAAAATGTTTAATAAATTTTGATGAAAAGCTCTCAACTTCCTATGTTAAATTGCCGACGGCTAATACATAAAGATACAGTAAAGAAACCGGAATATTTACCGACGGCATCGTAAAAGAGCTGAGTTAAAAATTTTTGGTTTGCGGAGCCACTCATGTGAGAATTCCCAGATGTAAAATTTTCCTTTTATACTCAGTAAGAATCGATAGAAAATCTGTCATTGTTGCCTTCATTCTCATCTAATGACAGACACAGCAAAAGGGCAGATTCGATGGTTTCGGGCTGTGGTTGGGTCGCCGGAGCATAAATCCTACGTAGAATAATATCGAACCCAAGGCAAGAGTTATTCTTCGCTCGATCTCCAGGCTGGCAATGTATGCTGTGTTTACGCTGGATCGTAAGAAGACAATGACCTCCACTACTTCAAAGTTATAACTGCCAAAAGTGACTTGTGCCCCAAAAGTGCGAAGTCTTTTTTTTTTGTGCAGCCTTGTCTTCGTTCAGCCCTAGACCAAATAGAGATGGGCAGGGGATATCGGGACCCGCGGGACCCACCGGACTGATTTAAAAATGGCCGGGATTTGCGGGCGGAATGGGACCAAAATCCTTTCCAGACCCTCCCCATAAAACTTGCAACCTCCGAAAATTCTGAAAAGTTTCCTTAAAATCGTTTTATGAAATTAGCCCTTTTTTATTTTGAATGAATTTTTTATTTGCATTGCGGTTAATTTTGGAGTACTCCTTGACCCATAGGGAGTAATATTTATGTACATGCGTGCATAGAGTAGTCGCGATTTTTGCTGGGATATTGCGAGAGAAACCTGCATTATCGACTGTTGTTATAAATCTACCTAAATCCATACATACATTAGGGCCAATCACCAAAAAAAAATCCGATTTTTCCCACCGAAATTTTAAAATCTATTCTTTTCTAAGATTTCTGACAAAATATTTCCGAATATTATTGTGAGCTAAACCGGTTTGAAAATGCCTCCAAAAATCTTATTATTTTGATTCCGCTAATAAAATTTGTGAACATTTTTATGAAGACATTTTAAGCTTCTATCATCGAAGGTGATTTTTGGAAAAAATAAAAACTAGTTTCATTAATTAAGAAAAAAAATAGGTTTTCGAAAATATTTTCAAATCCCTCTCATGTATGTAAATCTCAATATTTTTCGGAAAAAAATGTGGGGGAAGTCTTAAAATATAATAAATTTTATATTTCCGATGAAACAACAGGACGGACTTTTTTGTGTGATGCACCCTAATGTATATACATATGTATGTATAATATTATTGATTCCTCACACATAACTGTTATTTTGCAAATGCTTACTATACTCTATGGAGTAACAAAATAAGAGCAAAAAAATGCATGTATGTGCATTAGGGTGGTCCAAAATAAGTAAAGTCGGAACTTTAATGCTGCCACCACCTAGGATTGCTCTAAATATATCGAAAAAATACACCCCTACTTTATTATTTTGAAATCAAAATATATCAAATATCAAAGCTTTCGATGTATTTTATATGGGAAAAAATAACTGTTCGTAGAAATGGTATGGAATTCTTGAAAACCAATATTTTTCGATCGGAAAACTATGGTTCTCTTCAGCAGATTTCCAATAACAATATCCAGTTGTTTATTTAACCATTTTTTAATACTAAAGATTTTTTCTTTATGCCCCCATTGCATTTTCTTGGGGTTTTGGCGGACCTGTAAAATTTAGTTATTATGAAAAAATGGTTAAAGCAGATCTTTCCGATCGAGAAAATATTGATTTTCCAGAATTCTATACCACTCCCGCGAAAAGTGGTTTTCCCATATAAAATACATGGAAAACTTTGAGCGCTTTGAGCGACCTCTACATATTGTTTGATTTCAAAATAAAACTATTTATTTCGGTATAGAACAATCCTAGGGGTGAGAGCAAAGCCGACCCATGATTTTCGATTTAAAAATAGTCACTTATCCATGGGGGTAACCAAAATGAAATTGAGGGGAGAGGGGGTCGAAACTATTTACCTAGCATTTCAGGGTACTATTTTTGATACATATATGTAGGGAAAACTTGGAATTTAGGGGGCTCGAGGACCCCTACATGCACTTATCACCGTAAAAACTTCATTAAAATGTTATCAACGTTGTAGGTATTCTCTTTCAAAAAAGGATTTATTTTTTAATTTACCTCTTGTATTTGATCCTCCGAAATCAACATTTTTGTTTTATTACAAAAAAGATGATATTTTGGAAAGAAGTAAAATGCCAAACATTCACGTCATAAAACACACGTGCCACTAAATCTTATGTCAAATTTTATTTCACAGTCGTTATAAAATTTCTTTCTTTTTCTGTATTTACATATCTACTTATTTATTTAGTTTCGATTTATGTTTTTCACACTTGAAATTTTTTTCCAAATAAAGGTCTAATACAAAATCAAATTAAACACCACGAAAGCCACGCTATGTCCGTCGCATTAATTACTACACTTGCTGCACCTCAGCTACCGAATAATGTGTCAAATCGAATAAAATTATGCGCTTTCTTTGATATTTCCGCACGGCACGACACGACACCAACGATTGCATTGACGATGCTGCGATATCAAAGGTCGTCAATCAACTAAATGCACGGCAAGATGCACATAATAAAATACCAATCACGTACGCACACAAACGCCGACATAAACCAACACTACGGATGCATTATAAAATGAACACATACACAAATGCACAAAAGAAAAGAAGGCAGGCAAGCGGCCGATCGAACGCGCCAACAGGCAGCAGACCACCATTCATCCATCGATCGAGCGTAGGCACAACGCCGTCCAAGAAAAGGTTGAATGGATGAGATGATGCCTGCGTCTAACTGCCTGCGTGTACAGTGTACAGCAAACAGTGGCGGTAAGTAGAGAAAAGACACTTCTGAAAAATGACCTGATAATGCGACATACAAGCAATAAAAATGAAGTAAGAGGCCAGCAGCGCCGGTAGGTAGGGCCTCCTCAATAAAGGCGACAAAATAACTTTGTTGCTGCCGACGAGTTGGCCGGATGATCGTGTTGACTGCGACGACAAATGATGCGCGACAATAAAAGAAATCAAACCCGCATGAGTTGTGGAAAACCTGTTGGCATTATACGAGTATATAAACTCTCAGGTAAGCACATATGCGTGTGTGTGTGTGTGAATTACTCCTCAATTTAAATATATACATAATTTGATTTGGATCGCATGATTGAAGATGTGAGCTTGCGTGTGTGTGTGTGGCCCCTTATGCGTCTGCCGCAATGCACAAGAAATTAGAGTAATAAAATCGAGCGATAGACCAATCATAAATGCGCCCAGAGGCAGCTACAAACATTAACGTATATATACAAAAAAAGCCACACTATCTTCAGATACTTTCAATTTATATACATACATATGCATACATACATACATATTTTTGATCTTGCTACCTAACAAACTATGCGCATATATAAGATGATGGTTATTAAGTGTATAATTAGCGTGAAAGGGACGTTAGATTTGCGTGAGTGAAATAGCGCAAAGCGATCGATCGATAGACTAATCTCAAATGTATGTATGTAGTACCTATGTACTTATTCTAAGATTCTATGCAATTGAATGTATTAATTCTTGGAAGTGGCAATCGTAGTCGACACAGATTGTTCCAAGGCGGAAGCAAAATTACTCCTACACACATACATACATACATACATATTCGTATAGACACTTAAATGAAGCAGCTACACAAAATTTATATTTTTATGCATTTTATGTCCATGCTAATACTTTGTATATCTATTCACATACATACCTACGCATTTGGATTTTAACATGAAACCTTAAAGGTCGCCTAGCTCAGCTCAGCGCAACTCTACTTGAAATTAATTTATTACTGACCCAAGGCGCAAAGGCTCGCAGACAATGGCCGCAAGGCTAGTCAGCGGAGCAAACAATAATGTGTGTTTCAAAAATATCAATTTCATCACTACATCTTACAATAACATACACAAAAACAACATTTACTAACTACTATGTATAGTTAATGAAACCAGAATTCGCTGCACTAAGTAGGAATGTTACATACATATTTACGTTAGTGTGGGTCGGAATTTTTAATTTTCTTTCATATTTTCGAAATAGTGAAAATAAAAGATTACGAGCCTGTAAAATATTATGCTTTTTTTCAAGTGCCATTCAAACAATTATTGTGGCAGCTCCATAGTTTAGGGTTGCCCTACAAGTTATCATTCTTCAACAAACATATAGATTATTCTCTTGATCATTCCACTGATTCTGAATATACCCGCGGTTTTGTCAAAATGGCTCTTGTTTGCGAATTTGCGAATTTAGGAAAATTTAAGTAGATCAAATTTCTACAAACTATAATTTCCGCCACCTTAGGAAACCATTGTTTATGCAAACGAATGGGAGCTTCGAAGTCACACGAATAAGGAAGTCATAGTTTTATATACTTATGTCTGCGAATACTAGGTATATAAAAATGGCATTTGTATGTAAAATAGGTATTTTTGTTCAAAATTTATTTTTTTCTATCCAACAATCTTTTGAGCTTGAGGATGGTTTTTATGAAAAATGGTGTGGAAAAACAACAATAATTTAAATATACGTAGAAGTTATAGCTGCTATCTCCTCATCAGACTTCTTCACTGGGATTCGATACAGGGACCCCTGCGTACAAAGCCAATGGTCTACCCACGAGCTAAATTTGCCTTATAAACTAGTGTTGCTGTTTTCCACTTTTTCATAAGCCAACCCAACGGCAGCTATTCTGCTGCTATTTAGACTTGATCATGTGGTAGTTGTTGGTTTTTTCTTAATATGCTATTATTTATGAAGGCCGATTTTTTACTAAAAGGGGCCAATTTTTTACTAAAATATTGTTTTTTTTTTT